TTGGTGCGGCGAATGGCAAAACTCACTGATGATGCCGACTACGATGTCGGCGAAACGTTTGAGAATGTATTAAGTCCACTGTCAAATGCTGGGAATCAAGACAACTACTATGGCAGACGACTTCGGACTCGGTGCGTTATACATAGTCTTCCTGAACACAAGACCAAGTTGCGACAACGAGGTCAGCCCACTTTTAATGGATTCTGTTCATCCACAAATCCAATACTGTAAAAAGTTGTATATGCTAAGAAAATGCAGGTTTCGAAGACTCTTCCAAGAAAAAAACTTGATTACATAAGCATAGGATGTGGCACAGGATAGGCTCCTCCTTGTTCCGTTTTTTACTCCCAAATCCGCAAAATCTGGATATTCAGATCTGCGCAGGATATTTTCAAATTTGGATTTCTTTATATAAGTAAGTTGACCTCGTTTTCACAACTTGGTCTTGCTGTCAGGGTGTCTTAGTTGAACGGACTTTATCCTAATACCTCTGCCATAGTAGTTATCATAATTACTAGCATCAGATCGTAGATTTGGTACATTCTCTAACGTTTAGCCGGCATCGTAGTCGGCATCAGTAAGTCTTGCCATTCTTCGCACCAAGCTACAACTCGCAAAGAGACGAGCCAAGTCAAATTCTCGATTAACTTTGTCTCGAAATGATTACACTATCACTTCTCTTTATATCCAGGCCCTTCTACCTACTTCTTACTCTCGCTCTTTCACAACTTCTGACTTGTTTACATTCCACTCGTCAAAAGGTGTGTCCTTTTTGGCAAGTTTCGTATAGCCTAATCACACCTGCTGTTCCTTTGCTCCTATATTTCAATCGGCTAATTCGTCTCAGGCCTCAGAGTCTTCCTCGTGTTCCCGTATATCTGTTGATCTATTTCACTTGGTTCTAGTACTAGTGTATGTTTTACTCCAGGCGCCGTTTCTCAAGCCCTTAGAGGTACACTTCCGCCTCACTGAGCCGAGCGCCAAGGCTCTGATTCTCATGCTTGCAAACATTAGGCATTGCTTTCGAGTTATCTTCTTGTTTAAACCCGTAATACCTGGGCAAACTGCCTGCTGCATCTCAAGTGGGTTCTAATACATTTTGTGCATAATGTCGAATTTCTGTGATGGTTTTGCTTATCCGTCTGCCTAGTTTCCTGATCGAACTAGGCGGAACAGGGACGACAAAATAGCAGTATGGATAGATAAGAATTCACATAAGTGGATATGCCTACTTTCCTGCAAATTAACTCAACAATTAAAGCCACTACTAAGGAAATGCAATATTCGGGTGACCATGAAAGAAAAAATCACTCTTCACACGTCTAACGAGGAGAATGGCAAGGCTCACTGGTGATGCCGACTACGATGCCGGCGAAACGTTTGAGAATGTATCAAGTCC